AATATTCACAAAGCTAACTTTCCAGGCTCCCCGACAACATATCCTACGCCCAAGGCGCCCTCCTTGAACCCCTCTCCGTCGTCCTGCACGGCATCCGCACCGCCGGCCTCGAGCTGGGCACCGGCGCCGTCATCTGCGGCGCCGGCCCCATCGGTCTCATCGCGCTCGCCGCCGCCCGCGCCTCAGGCGCCCACCCCCTCGTCATCACTGACATTGAACCTCTGCGCCTCGCTTTCGCCAAGGAGCTCGTGCCCGAGTGCCTCACCTACCGCGTCGACCCGAGTCTGGGCGCAGAGGGCAACGGAAAGGCGATCCGGGCGCTGTTCGGCACCGAGACGGCGGGGGAGTACGTCGCGCCGAGGACGGTGCTCGAGTGCACCGGGGTCGAGAGCAGCGTCTGCGCCGCGGCGTTTGCGGTGCGGAGGGGCGGCACGGTCATGGTCATTGGGGTGGGGAGGGAGGTGATGAACAATCTGCCTTTTATGCACATTTCGCTGTCCGAGGTGAGATTCCAACCCGGCTTGCTTGGGCCCCCGTGGCTGTCTTAATGGCTCTGTACTGACTGGTCGACAGATCAAACTCGATTTTATCAACCGGTACAGGGATACGTGGGCGCCGGGCATCCAGTGCCTGAGCGGTGGGATATTGAAGTTGGACAAACTTATCTCGCATACGTTTCCGCTTGAAAAGGCGGAGGAGGCTCTGACGCTGTCCTCTGATGTGAGGAACGGGAGCATCAAGGTGCAGATTGTGGATGAGTTTGAGTCGCCGCTGTTTTGAGAGCTGAAGTGCTTCAAAAATGGACTTCATTTCGTTAGCAAAACATGATGAGGAACGATGTGCTACTCCTCTACGCAGCGACTTTGAGGCCAGCCGTCTTGAAAAGGGGTTTATGTGTGGTACTCCTCGATGTGACAGTTGGTACCAGCCAATACTGCCTTGAAGCTCGCTCTCGTTGAGTCTCGAACTCGCAGCTCATGATGAAGTTAACTGGAAGCTACAGTCGTAAAGAGATCTGGAGGTCGCTTGGGGATATTCTGTAAACTAGACATCATGGTGGTTACCGTGGCCTCCTCCCCGGTGCAGGCTCTGACCTCGCCCCTTTTGGATAAACTACAGAACCATAGCATGGTGTGTGGATCGCGCTTCCGACGGTATCATGCAGTGAACGAACAAGGCAACTTTCCAAATCCTCACATAGCAGAACAATCACGGTCCCCAGAAATCGCTCACCTGTGGCTATTCACAGCAACCGCTGAGCCTTCATGAGCTCATAAGCCTTCTACCTTCCTGAGACAACCCGGCTACATGATGGATGAATGGAA